CTGTATTTCATTGGCTAATAGGTTGTTAAACAACTTTCGTTGACTTGGGTTGGGTGGCCAAACGGCGAAACACTTGTGTCGACTTGCGGGCAAATTTGATCTCAACCAAAATGAGCGCAAGTCATCGCAAGTCAACGCAAGTGCACGCAAGGCCTCGCCAAACACAGTTGCAAGTACACTCAAGTTTTCAACTTGCATCTACTTGCGAGTCTGTTTGACCAGAACTTTAAACGATTGATCGAAAACAGTTTACGGGGGATATAAGGTCTTCCATTCGGGTCCTATCGTGTGTTATCCCACAAGCTTCTGCTCCGGATTCCAACGTCTGTTTGTTATGTACTTCACCCTTGCGTTATAATACAAGTGTCTTTTAATTTTTGTGAATTTTTCTCAGAAAAATGATTCAAAACTTTATTAGACAGATTTTCTTTCGCTACAACAATAAAGTACAGAGACACTGTGCAACTTTCAAAAGCGTTTAGAAATGATAAATTTGAATGTCCGTTATCTTGAAGTAGTATATTTCATACGAGAGAGAACATTTTATCACATTTCCAAACACTGAGAAGAGAATTGACAACAAGACTTGCAGCAAGTATTTTTCACCAAATTCGAGGGTTTTGGAAATGTGATGAGCCACTGTCTCGTGCCCAGTTGTTTGGTACATCTTCTCAGTCGAAACTAAATAATTTTTTTTTTTCACGGCATCTGAGAAAGAGAACCTCAGTCAGGCGTCGCTGACACGGGAGACGGTGCAGCAACTCGAAGCACGTGGAGTAGTTGTAGGGGTTTTGTTTGTGATATCTTCAAGTTTGTAGAGCACAGAATAAAGAGCTTTCCAAAATCAAAAACAGTTTATATCATTTCTTTGTAACTAAATTATAAATCGAGTCACTTTTCTTTCTTGGTGTCCGCTACTATCGAGTTTACATTTGAAGCATTTTATTGCCCTGTTCTTGGGATTCACTTGGATGAACTTCAGCTGGGTTATTATGCAGCAATTCGACAGTGATAGTTCGATACCAATTTCTTGCCTCCTTTTAAATCTGTTTCAGGCGTTCGGTTAGTTGGAAATTTCTGGGAAAGCGACGGGAGAGAAAAGTGGGAAAGAGTGCCACGCTTTTTCACTGCTCCCCAAGTAATCGAACTAATGGATCACTACCCTTGTATATTTTCCCTCCCAACCCGCCACCCCTACTTCACCCCACAAAAATTAGCTAAGATATACACTTCATACACGTCTGTAACCAGCCATGGACTCCCATTTAAGAAGGGCTTATAATTTCCCAATCTTAATGAATGAAGATTAATTGCTTCAAATATAAACAATATACTCAATTGCGGGCGGGCGTGTCAAAACATTCCCTGGCTATTTCACACCAAAATGGTGAAAATCTACCATAGTAAACGTGCCCCACATACCCATACAGCGTATACAAGGGAGTACCCCTCTCCCCCGAGTCAAAAGGTTCTTTACCATCACAACGAACGAAATCATCAAGATGACTGGACCTTAAAATGCAGTAAAAAATTTGAAAACGTTATGTTGAAAAATAGATTACGCAGTGAATTTATATGGACGGGGAAAAATCTCACTCTCGGTGTCAAGTTGTACTTACAAAACTCTCCGTGCACTTACCTGACATCTTCGTTGCTTTGAAAAATTTGTGTCTTACTATACAGCTTTCACAATTTATGGTCAGCAATTCGTAAGCGCTTTTTTTTTCAACCAAATATCAAGAAGTTCAAAATTTGTTCAAGCATATGCTTTATTTCCCGTCAACCTGTTATCGTATTACTCTTGCTAACATCCAACTTTCCCGTTTTAAATAGCGTAATTTATTTAGTACGTCCTAGTGATGATTTTTTTTTTCCGAAAATCGAGTGCCGCTAACGTCTTCAAAATGTAAACCTCTTACTTTTCCCAGACCTGAAACACCAGCAACCTTGGTTGCAGTGATAACAACATCGGCGGAAATCTTCTTGTAAACGTGTATTTAGCCGTTCACGATAAAAAACGGGGCGCGACGCGCGAGCATGGTAACAAGACAAAGCAATTTTGCCCTGTTCCCAAGCTTCTCTCCTTCGTCCAAGTCAATTCGTGTTGGATACCCTTGGAGTCGTGGTACTGTTCTTCTGCCTCCTGAACATCAAACCCTGTACTTCCTGTCTCGATCTTTTTGCCAACGAGGTGCAAGGTAGGCTCGATTTCCGCCGCTCTCTCGTGTCTGGTCTACGTTCCTCGGGGGAAGAGCGCGGGCTCCTTTCCCGATCACAGCGGCTGGTAATAGAGCTTAGCTCCCTTGAAGCGATGAAATATCTGTCTTGCGACTTCTATTTTTCATTCTGATCATAATTTTTTGTAACGAAAAGTGTAAACAGGTAGATCTGTCGAGTCGCAACAGGAGACTGAATTGCGTTCGTATATGTTTACAACATGTTTTAAAAGTTATGGGGTCTGAAATTTTTTCAAGGGTCTGAGTTTTCGAGACACCGGATGGTCTCGGTTTTTCGAGGGTCTGAGGTCTGAGTTTTCGAGACACCCACACAGCTGGTGCTGGTTTTGTTGTTGTTTGGCTGGTTTTGCTGTTTCGGGAAGGAGAGAATTTTATACGGTTTAGGTAAAATATATCTGTAATTGAATTGTATCTATTAATTTTCAACACAAGAAATGATGTTCTTTTCAAAATCTCAGTCTCGAGTTTATTCTTAAAATATTCTTAACATTTCGCAAATTTCAATCTCATTATTCTTATAAAATCTATTGTAACAAAAAAGAGTGTATAACCATAGAGGCTCTATTTAGCCTTCATCATAATCTTCGCATACGTATGGTCTTTAGATCTTTTTCCACCCCAAAGTGGTAATGCAATATTCAACATTAGCAGCAACAAAGCGAAGATTCGCTCCTACATCCATCATCTTTTCGAGACACACGGCTTCACCCGTCCCAATACTTTTCATTCTTATTTTGCCGTGCGCTCGTCCCAGACGCCCCTTCATTGTGGACAACAAACACAAGATAAACTCTTCCGCGGGTTAGACAAAACTCTTTATTGCGTTTGATTGAAAGTAAATTATTTTGCAAAGGTGTCTACATACCTCTTTTGCAAAATATTCATACGGCTAG